ATGAACTTTTCTTTGAATTTAAGAAATAGTTTCTCTATCCCCAAATTTCTTTGAATCAAATAAGAAACCGTTTTCTGGGTGTAGCCTATCCCGTCCGGGATCTTTTAAGAAGCAGACTTGCCCGTCAAACTTTTGCGGCATTTCTGCGTAGATGTTGGTTTGACCTAGCATTATTCTTACTAAACGTTAGTCCAACTAACTGCGTGTACGCCGTTGGGCCCCTGACGCCGCAGTCCACCTCCAACTCACAGTGTACTCGCGGTGCCCGTCACGCCGCCCGCCGCGGCGCAAGACCGCGTCTGCATTATCCAAGCGCACTCGTGTTGCTGACTGGAGGCAGACGCCCCCTCCCCCTCCCCTCCCCCTCCCCTCTGCTCAACCCGGCGGCGACTTGTGCATTATTTATCACCCAATAAGTTGGCCTCAATAGTCGCCTGAACAATCCGATAACTACTTAGGCGAGACCCCGGCTCGGGAGCCCCACAGGTGACGGGAGGTCGTAGCGCCGCGCCTGGGCCCGCCTGGGCAAGGCAAAGCGCCCCCGTCCGCGGGGGTGGGAAACAGGCGAGTCAATTTCTCATCCTTCGCGTTCGTCCGATGTGTTGAGGCGACCAACTCTCGCGGTCACGTGTTTGTCGGCGCCGAGCAGCGCAGCACGGTCGAACAGCCACCTGGTCACTGAGTAAGCCATCAGCCATACAAAAACGAGATTTGAACTATAGTTTGATAACATTACTCTTTGACACGTTCTCTTTGGCTGTGCATTTGGGTTTTTTGGGGGCGTGGCCACAGAGTGGTCACGCCGCAGAGAACGTGCTAAGGCAGTCGAATAATAAGACCGAAAACGTTGGGATGGATGATAGAACTCGACCCACTGTCATAGAGGGTAGAGGGTGTTGCTGGGCACATATAGGCGACGGCGAGGGTGGCCGCGGGGTTGGGTGACGTAGGGAGGGTGGGGTTAGGGGGGGGGGGGATATGCTCGAGAGGACGCTCGTCGCTGCAGAATGACCGCTGCAACAATATCAACAATACAACAATAATGACACACCGTGTCCGTGATTGCGGGCGCCATGTGTTTACGTGCGCGCCTCGCTCGAGGGAGGGCCGGGAGGGCCGGGAGGTCGCCGGTGCGGTTTGACATCGATTCCGCCCGGGTCGACACGCGCGTGACACCGCCGCACGCGGAGCGCACGCGCCACCACTTACACGCACTGCACTGCTGGATCTGATTTGACCCGCGCACGCACACATCTTCGACGGCGAGCAGATACTTCCGGCCCTCCACGGCGCGTCACGGCTGGACGCACAAACCGGCGCTCGCGCGAGGCCTGCGGTCGGAAAGGATGGGGGGGGGGGGGGG